TGGAGTGAGCTGTGTGGTAGAGAAATAGGTTTGGGTATCATCAGTGTAGAAATGGTATTGGAAGCCATTAGAGGCTATGAACTGGCTCAGGGGCAAAGTGTAGATCGAGAATAGGAGAGGTCCAAGACTAGAACCTTGGGGAACTCCGACAGAGAAAAGGTGAAAAGAGGAAGCAAAATTGTAAGTGACACTAAAAGAGAAATGGGGAAGGTAGGAAGATAACCAGTAAAAAGTACAGTCATGGTCCTTTGTAGCAAAGGAGTGGAGTTTAAGAGGGGGCGGTCCACTGTGTCAAAGGCAGCAGAGAGATCCAGGAGTAGGAGTACAGAAAAGTGTCCATTTCTGTTGAGTGTTGAAGGCGAAATCCAGACTGAAGGGGATCAAGAAGGTTGTTCCAGTGAGATTCTCGGTTGTAGACCAGACATTCAAGGAGTTTGGAGGAAAAGGGGAGCAAAGCGATGGGACGTAGGTTAAGATTTGTGGGGTCCAGTGAGGGCTTTTTAACTATGGGGGTGACTGGTGCATGTTTTATAGAGTTGCAGAAGATGCTAGAAGAGAGGGAGAGATTAAAGATGTGAGTTAGAAAGTGTATGATGGAGCCAGAGAGTGTAATGAGGAAATATAAATGGTGTACAAACAAAATACAAAAATATAGCCTCACTCATTTAAAAAAAAAAAAAAAAAAGCCGTAACCCATAGAAAACCAATCAACATTTTTCTTTGATTTTAATACCTTATTGTATAAACCTTGTGTGTCACTGCCTGATAGTGGACTTCAATTTTCTGCTTATTTCTCTTATGAGGACGTTTCTACAGAAAGAAAGTAATAGAAGTAGATACATGTATGCTGTGTAACATTGTAGACTTGTCTATGTCTGTGTACTGCTTTTTATGTATTCATTTAAAAATAACTGGTATAACAAAAAGCTGAATACAGAATCTTTAATTCAACCTCCAGGTTGCCAGTTTGCAGTCAAGCAGGATCCTTAGTGTTTCTTACTAGGGAAGGGGGTGATTGTTAGGAAAACTTTGATACCTAAACAGGGGCCGCTGGTGTGGGTGTATGAAGGAAGAGCTATGAGGGTGTAACTGGTAAGAATTGGTGAGTAGCAGTTAGAATGGACTATGCTACCTCTCATGGACTCGTGTGAATGTGTACCTTCTGCATTGCTTATAGCATCGCCCTGTCACCAGTGGTTGTACTGTATACTCCAGTGGTATATTCTGCCCTTGTATTTGTACCTTGTAGGTAGCACACTTTTGGCTATGTAGGTTCAGATCAGGGTAACGAGGGAAGGAGTGGGTGGCTGGGGTAGCTGTTCACTCTGTATTATAAGGGTCTTCACAACCACCACCACCTCCTCCTGCCATTTCACTTCCCCAGCTTCTCTCTGTCCAGCGCGTGTTTACCTCAGTGAGCACAGCGTTTCCATAGCAACCAGCATTTTTTCAAAGGGAAGATCTTGTCATTTTATGTAATTCGCCGCAGCTGAAGAGGGCCGAAATATTAAGTTGTTGCCATGGAAACGGCTTTGATAGATCAGTTTCTTTTGTGTCTTTCTGGTATTTTTCCCTATAGAAATGATGGAGTCCGGGAGCCTAGAATTAACACCTTCCTTGCAGAGAATAAACCTTTCTGCCGCCCCGGATCACGGCACCACACATGGCGCCAGTTTGTCTTTGAAGCAGTTACATGTGACAGGAGGCATTAAAGCCGCCACATCAACTGTAGATAGCACTTCAGCCTCAGAGGTGGGATGCACGATGTTATCTCCTGCAGAGACATGTAGTCTCCTTGTGTGACGGCTACTGTTATCTAGCTGTACAGTGGTAACAGCATGGGACCACCTAGTAATGTATGTGGACTAGAAAATAAGGATAATTCTATAGTATTACAGTTGTGCAGTACACACTGATAAATGCTGGAATGAAACTGAATTCAAAGTTTCTAATTCCTAAATGCTACTTTGGCAGCTCCACCAATATTCACGTCCTCCATTTTTATACTTTACCTCTGTATAGGATGTAAAGCTATGGATGTAGTGTGGCCATTGTAGTCATCTGTTTGATGCCTCTGCACAGCTACCTGTGATAGAATGGTGTAGCATTACCTTTACCTGGATAAAGCCAATATCATTTTTCTGTTCTGGGAAAGGATGAAATTTCTTGAGGTAAGATGGTTGTCCCCCTCCATATATAGCTTTCAGCTAGCTTTGATGATGCTCACCACTGCTTCTTAACAGGTACGCAGTTCAAATGTCTGTCTTGTTTAAACACCTACACATTATACACATGTGATACAGATGAAACCTATCAGATATTACCTTCAATATGTCAGTTCATTAAAGGGGAACCACAGTCTTTTAATGTTTTTAGATATACAAATCAATAAGATGAACTTAGTGTACACAGCGTTAATGTCTTAAAAATGTTCCTTAGTAAAGTTTGTTGTTACCCACTTATCTTGCCACTACTCAGTATACTCTCATACTATGTGCACAGAGTCTGCAGTAATGATTGATAGCCAAATATCCTGATGGTACTATGGTATTATGTGATCCTGATTTGGCTAGGTTGGGAGCAGTTTTTTTTTTTTTTTTTGTTTACACGTGTGAAGTAGGAGATTTATTTTAATTTGTATGAGTCTAGGTTCACACCTAAGCACTTTGCGGTGCATTTTTGCATTTGACAGAAACGCAGTACAGTCCACTTCTCATGATTTCCTATGGGGCACGTTCACATCTCGGTGTTTTCACCCGGTGCTTTTTTTGGAAAGGGTCAGGAAATTTTTTTAAACGCAAAACTTTTTGGTTCAATGGACTTCAATGGATACACTGCAGAAATGAATGTAGTGCGTTTTGCGTATTAATCTGCCCAGCAGCAAGTTGGGAAAAGAGAGAAAAAAACCCGCAAAACTCATAAAAAATGCGTCAAAACCGCATGTGCAAAAAGCACTGCAGAAACAAATCAAATGCAAATTGTAAAGGTGTGAACCTAGCCTTAGGTATATCTAAAACCATTTTTTCGGGGGGATAGAGTAGGGGAGAATTAAAACTTCTGTCAGCTAATTTCTGGCCATCTGTGCACTATCGGGGGGATGTTCAATTTATATTCCTCTCCTGTCAACAAAACGGAAGTGAGGGAAATCCCCTCCTAGACTACTTTCCTCATTGAACAATTACCTCTTCACTCCTAGTCTGATCACAACTTAAAATTTAGGATTTTCCCATTTTCTTCCCAATGACATTGGTCAGCAGGATAAATGGGGTGAATCTTCCTAACAGATTCACCAGGAGTGAATAGGTATGGCAAATTGCAACATCATCAGAAGCATGGGATAGTCTTGCTTGCTGTGTTTGATGTGTTGACCTGTATAACTGAATGATTACAAATTAGGTATTCTAGACAGTCCAAACATTACTTATCAACTTAGAAGCACCTTAAAATGTAACTTTACAGGTGACAACTTGATGAAAAATAATGTTCTTCAGCAAGAAACATACATTCCAAATTAATAATTATGCTACCAAAATTAGTGTGTGCTGTAAACGGTCTCCAGCATTGTCCCGGTTTCTCCTTGCTGGAGGCTGCCATTTTGCTGAAGCCCAGAGCTCATGAGCAGCAGTAAATCTTAGGCTGTCAGCAGATTGGCCTGTTCATTTTAGGCACAGTGCCGAAAAATAGCAACTGAGCATGTACAGAGTAAGGCAAGACCGTTTGTTACTGGATTTGAAACAGTATAATGACTTATGTTTAATATTTTACAAAGCTACAATTACAAAATGGGCCAGCATGAAATGATCTAGCAGGACTTAATTTTCTAAGATACAGTATCAAAGGTTATGACAGCATATACAGTTTCCGGGAAAAAATTCATCTGATACATAAGCATGGTCAACTGACTGAAAGAGACAAATTGACATCGAGCAGAATTGTGACAGAATAAGAAAGCGTCTGCAAAAAAGACTGAAGAGCTCAATCTCAGTCACCTAGAAAATGAGATTGAGCTCTGCAGTCAGTTTTGCAGCAGTTTTCTTATTTCGGGTTACAATCCTGCACAATGTCATTTTGTCTCTTTTGGTCAGTTGACAATATCGACTGATATTATACCTATCAGACAACGGTTTTCCCGGAAACTGTATGGTATCTCTAGTTACACAAACCCTAATATGTTATTTACATTGGTGCATAGTTAGGAATGGCACTTCAAAACACCTTACCAATGCACCAGTGTACTACAGTACTTTTGTGGTGTACTGTGTTGTTCAAAATAGTTCATTAGGCAGCCTGATCCAGCATCCCATGCATATCGTGCCACATTTCTTCTTGTAGGTGAGCCATACTCCAAGTGACTTCTTTAGACTGCCATGATTACGGCTACCCATAGTAACAAATGGGACCTTGGTGCATGTGCAGACTGTTGAGGAGCTGTGTAGGAGCCTCAATCGCTGGTTTGTAACTGAAGTCAAATGTAACACCAGGCTGCCTGCTCTGTGTGTGTGGGGAGGGTGTATTTAAGGATAACTTTACTAAATGCGAATTTTCCCTTTAAACCTTTAGCTCTTATACACACATACTGCTGTAATGGAGAACAACATCATGGTGTTAGAAAGCTCATGAAGAATATGCCATAAATGTTGGCTGTTGGGGAGCCTTTCCTGATTCTGTGCACATTGCAAGCCTTGTGAAGACAGTTTTATTTAATTCTCTCTTGGAGGGAATAGCTTCCATTGGATACTTCCAGTAGTCTCCTCCTTTTTCTACTGTGTTTTGATTGGATATTTTTCAGAAGATCATGGTTAATTGCGTTTTTTAGCCCACATTAGGAACTGCCAGATACTGAGAAACATTGCAGTGTGCATTATTTGAAAATATGAGGTCCACTCTGGTATCTGTCACAATTGGAATTCCTGCCGCTAAACTGTTGTATTGATTCCTGCTCTATTGCCAGATCAATATGTTGAGATCCTTGTCTAATGACACTAATTTGTCTGTTACAGGAGGCTGAATAGCACCCAAGGGGAAATTCGTGTGGGCCCAAGTCACCAGGTACATTTATTTTCACCTTTACCTTGAAACTCAAAGACAGAAATGTATCTTGTAAGAGAACTTGTCACTGGCTCCAACAGAGCATATTCTTAAATCTTAAGTGTGAAACTCAGCACACCATATAGAAAATGTCACCTTGAAAAAGCATAGGCAGTATGAGAAATGATCAAGTAGTTAGGAAGAGGTAATATTTGTTTTCAGGCATCTTCGTATGGTATATAACTTCTCATGAATATACACAGTGCTCAGCATAATTGAGTACACCCCTTTTGAAAAGTAAAATTTTAACCACTTGCCCTCAAGAGGATTTACCCCCCTTCCTGACCAGGCCATTTTTTGCGTTACGGCACTGCGTTATTTTAACTGACAATTGCGCGGTTATGCACCACTGCACCCAAATTAAATTTACATCCTTTTTTTTCCCCCAAAAAAATAGTTTTAATTTGGTGGTATTTGATCATATGTGCATTTTTTTTTGTTTTTTTTTCTTGTGCTATGAAAAAAAACTCCCAAAATTTTGAGGAAATAAAAATATTTTTGTCTTTTTGCTATTAAACCTGTCCAATAAACAAATTAAATCAAGTTTCATCATAAATTTAGGCCAGAATGTATTCTGCTACATGTCTTACAAAAGAGTGTATGTGAACACACTGCAAAACATATTCCCATGGGCAACATGCTTAAAAGGCTAAAAATCAAACCTATGTGGCTTACAGCCAAAGTTAAAAAACTATAGATAATAAGAAAAGAGCTTTTATTAAGTATAAAAATGAAGGAACGCTATCATCGTTTAAGAATTTCAAAGAATAGAACAGAATATGCAAAAAAATAAAGGCCGCAAAAATTTAAAACGAACGACAGTGCAAAAGATAGCAGGACCAACCCCCAAAAATTCTTCAAATATATTAATAGTAAAAAGGTCCGGTCCGAGCATGTAGGCCCTTTACAAAATAATCTAGAGTGGGTGACTGGGGACAAAGAGTAGGCAAATTTATTAAATACCTTCTTCAGCTCTGTGTATACAAAGAGCATGGGGGAGCTCTTGTCCATAATAGACATGGTATTGACACAGATCCAGACGATCCACATTGGCTCACAATTGACAGAACAAAGGTGAATAAAGCACCTGGACCGGATGGCATACACCCACGGGTCCTTAAAGAATTGAGCTCTGTAATTTCAAAGCCATTGTTTCTATTTTTTAGGGTCTCTTTAATGACTGGCATAGTACCACTGGATTGGCGTAAGACCAATGTGGTGCCAATATTTAAAAAGGGGTCAAACGCTTTACCAAGTAATTATAAAACTGTTAGTTTAACTTCTATAGTTGGGAAGATACTGGAGAGTTTAATAAAAGACCACATAGATGAGTTCTTGCTGGAAAAAAATATTTTAAGCAACAGACTACATGGATTCATGAAAGACAGAAGTTGTCAAACAAATCTGATTTCTTTTTATGAGAAGGTGAGCAAAACCTTGGACACTGGGGTGGCGGTGGACGTTGTCACGGATCCACGATCGCCGCCACCAACAGGCGGCAGTCGCACGACCCCGACTAACAGTAATACGTCACGCCCACGGCGTCAGACCCCAGACCTTCTCACCAAACTCGTGACCATAGGACCGGCCGATCTAAAACCGCGGTCTGACACGCGTAACAAGGCCACACTCAGCTGCACCCAGCTCAGCGATTGCCCAGCTAATGGACTACAATCGGTGCCTGCAGCCTAAATGCACTTGTTACTGGGTCGGATTAATTACGCAACTAACCCTCTACTGCCACCACCACTTTTGTCGGAGACTGGGAAACTCCCATTATCAAATATACACTATAATGATTGAAATATTGATCTATATAGCACGGCCCGCGGACCTGCTATACAGAGATATACCAAACAGTAGCGTCTCTTTAAAGGCAGGGATTCGTGAATTGCAAGTAAGCGCTTAGAAACAGTTTAACACTTTCAGAAAGAAAGATTTATTACTAAAAGGGTCAAAACAGGTGCAATAAAATATTTACAAAGGTGTCACAAAAAATATATATATATATATATATGTATATAAAGACACCGCAAAGAGATAATTAGGAAGAAGATTACAGGGTTAAGTTACTTGCCCATATGCCTGGGTTTGCAGATCCAAGTTGTAGAACAGGGTGATTTCTTGATCTCCTTTTGTTACGATGTTGCTGGGAGATCTCTGTGTGTGTCAAGCTCTAACTCACTTGTCTCTTCTTAAAAGTCCCTCTCAAAGGGGGGGGGGGGGGGGCTCTGACTACACGTTTTGGGAGTGGTCAGTGGGAAACTGTATTAACTACAGCTTCATAATACATGACATGAAACATACGGTTGACCTGAGGAATGTGCAATTACTCTGGTGAGTTTGTTAATGTGTGGGCTTACACCGGTTTGGGTCAATGCTTCCCAGTTCTCTGAAAAATGCTGCCTTATCAGACGTAGGTGAGAAAGGTGACAGTTTCCCCGGACTGCTGGCCCCACCAGGAATGTTTCTCCTGGGCTGACCCCCACCATCTGTCAGGAGATAACGTTGGTCTCTCAGGACGATATAGGGTCTGGGATTAAAAATCCCATCTCAGTCTTTGCAGATGACACCAAGCTGTGCAGTGGAATAACGTCCTTACAGGATGTCTTCAAATTACAAGCCAACCTCAATGCACTGTTTAATTGGAAAACTGTGGCAAATGAGGTTTAATGTTGATAAATGTAAGGTTATGGGGGCTAAGAATATGCATGCATCACACATACTAGGGGGGTACAACTGGGGGAATCAATGGTGGAGAAGGATCTGGGAGTTCTGGTAGATCACATGCTTAATAATGGCATGCAATGCCAAGCTGCGGTTTCTAAAGTGAGCAAAATCCTCTCATATTATAGAGGTATAGACTCCAGAGAGAGAGAGATATAATTTTAGCCCGGTACAAATCATTAGTAAGACCTTATCTGGGATATGCAGTTCAGTTTTGGGCACCAATTCACAAAAAGTACATTGGGAACTGGAGAAAGTACAGAGAAGGGCAACCAAACTGATACGAGGCATGGGGGAACTGAATTTATTCTCTCTTGAGAAGAGGAGATTAAGGGGGGATATGATCTCCATGTGTAAATGCATCAGTGGTTCATATAGTGAACTTGGTGTAGAGCTATTCACCCTGAGGTCATCAAAGAGGACAAGGGGGCACTCTACATCTGGAGGAAAAGAAATTTAATCTCCAAACACGGAAAGGTTTCTTCACAGTGAGAGCTGTGGAATAGACTCCCTCAAGAGTTGTTTCTGGCCAGCTCAGTGGATTGCTTTAAAAAAGGCCTGGATTCTTTCTTAGATGCACAGAACATAACTGGATACTAACATTTATAGGTAAAGTTGATCCAGGGAATATCCTATTGCCTCTCGGGTGATCAGGAAGAAATTTTTTTTTACTGCAGGAGCAAATTGGATCATGCTTTGCTGATTTTTTTGCCTTCCTCTGGATCAACTGTGGGTATAGGATTATAACTTTTTTTTTTTTTTTAATGGTTGAACTGGATGGACTTTTGTCTTTTTTTCAGCCAGACAAACTATGTAACTATGTCTTTGCTAAAATAAAATCCCAATACGTGTAAATTAATTGGTTTATTTGAAAGTTAGTGAAAGTTATAGCGTTTACAAATGGTGGTATATATACTGGGATTTTTTTATTTTTACTGGCGGTGGTCAGTGACTTATAGTGGTACTGTGGTGGGCATTTTGACACTGGGGGGTACTGACTTGGTGTCAGTGACACCCTCACAGTGATCAGTGCTTAAAAAAAAAAAAAAAAAAATGCACCGACACTGTACTCATGGCACTGAGCAGGAAGGGGTTAACAGGGCCAATCAAAGGGTTAACTGTGTGCTGCAGTGTGCACGAGTTTACAGGGAGGAGAACTGTTTTGTTTACAAACAGTTCTCCTCGTCGGAGATGCTTGGCAATCACCGGCCGGGACCCATTGATTGACGGACACGAATGGTGGCGCGGGTAGGGCACGCGCCTACTACCCGGAGATGCAAAATCATGTGTATATATACATGATTTTGCGCACCTGTGCCGCCCTGTAGCAGTATTTCTACTATAGGGCAGTTGGGAAGCGGTTAATATCTCAATGAACACAAATTTTAACAAAACTGAGTGGTTATAGAACATTTTGTTTAGCTCGTTATATGATTTTAATAATACATAGATTACAAAATCTTCAGTCTTACTCAAATTAGTTAATGGAAAAATGAATACACCCCACTAAAAAAAAACTACATCTAGCATTTTGTATGACGTCCATGATTTGTAAGGACAGCACCAAGTCTTCTAGGCATGGAATGAACAAGTTGGCGACATATTGTAGCATCTATCTTTTTCCATTCTTCAAGAACAACCTCTTTTAGAGCCTGGATGCTAGATGGAGAGTGATTCCCAACTTGTCTCTTCAGAATTCCCCATAGTTCAATTGGGTTCAGATCAGGAGACATACATGGCCACTGAATCACTTTCACCCTGTTCTTCTTCAGAAATGCAACAAGTGGCATTAGATGTGTGTTTTGGATCATTGTAATGTTGGAAAAGTGCATGACGACCAAGGGAACGGAGTGATGGTAGCATCTTCTCTTTCATTATAGAGCAGTACATCTGTGAATTCATGATACCATTAATGAAATGCAGCTCCCCAACACTGGCAGCACTCATGCAGCCCCACAGAAGGACACTGCCACCACCATGTTTCACTGTAGGCACCATGCATTTTTCTTTGTACACCTCACCTTTACGACGCCATACAGTTTTGAAGCCATCAGTTCCAAAAACATTTACAGTTGCAAGAAAAGGTATGTGAACACCTTGGGATTACGTGGAGTTTTGCATGAATTGGGCATAAAATGTGCTCTGAACGTCATCTAAGTCACAACAATAGAAGAACACAGTCTGCTGAACATAATACTCCACAAACATTAGATGTTGCCATGGTTTAATTGCAC